CACCTTCCCATAAAACCTAGGGTAAAGAAGCGTATCAACCCTTGCGGTTTAGGGTAAGCTTTATTCGAAATAGGGAATCTTCAATTTACTGACTCTAAAGGCAGATCATCTCATGATCTCTTTTACTATGCATAGATTCCCGAGTCCTTGTAAATGTCATCCTGATTTCTCCGGTTTACAGATAACCTAATCTCTCACAGAGACTTGACGAATTCCTTCAGCTTATCACCCTAGCCCTGTGCTCTTTCAGGACGAGCCCAACAGTATACCTATGAGTCTCCATGTTTCAGGCAGACGAGGTATACAGTCAAAGCATGTCTTCTAGAACACAGTCTAACTAATAACTTCTGGTCTAAGGAAAGATATACCCAAATATAAAGAGACTACTCTAATGATACTCTCTGTGAGATTTCCTCATAGAGTCTCTTTTGTGGGTCTGTTCAGTGCGAGCTATACCCTTATAGATCCACCTACGACTTTAGCTAAGACATCTCCATATCTGTGGCTCATGAGGTTTTTACCTTGCATCCGAATACAAGTAGATAAGTCGTGCTAGTCTTACCCGAGATCACTGATCCCCATTCTCAGTGTCTCTAGACTAGGAACATAAAATTAGGAATAAATATCCAGTATCCTTGAATCCTCATGATTGTGATCTCATACTTATTTTATTCCAAGGGGTTTATCGAGTTACTCATATAAAATATTAACATTAATATTGAGACAAAATATAAAACAGGTTAAATAGTGCTTTTATTTATTTGCGACAATACAAAGGTCCACATATGTCCTAATCTAATTAAAAGATTGTCTTTAGGACATCCATATACTAACAAAATTTATAAGAAATCATGTTAATAATGTGTACATGCAATCCTATGCAATCCCGAAGGAAAACAGCAAAGTTCCCAACAACATAGAATAAGTGAACCCCTTTAATAACCAGTAATTGAATGATTGACAAAGCATATGAATTAGCCAACGAGAGACATGTTAATCATATTACCACATTAATGTGACATAATAAGTCGTTATGCTATTACTATTAAAGAGAGACTCAAAATCCAAATATGATCATCTTCTTCTAATATATTTAAGCTCATCATTCAAATATTAATTTGAACATTGAAGTATTTTGCTAATACTCATCCACCTCTTCCAATACAAATCATTTACAAAGCGTGTCAACCCGCCATGTCAGATCAACAACACTCTATACCCACTTGGACCAAGGCTCAACAAATCAGGCCTACGAAATTTTCTCTTCTTCTTTCATTTATATTTTTCTTAACTTTGTATCTTTTCTATTTTTTTCTATATTTTTATTTTCTTAATAGCAATCAAAATGGGTTTATTTTTAATAAAATGCCTTTAACATGCTATTATGCTATACATTTATAAACAAATATTCTTTTAATTTTAATGTTACAAATTCTAATAATAAGAATATTTGAATAAGTCCACATAAGACAAATTTATCAGTAGAATTGTGGAAAATAGGATGCGAGTAGCGAATTTCAAAATTTGCATTCCTTACTCATCCTATTCCCTTTTTCGAGCAATAATAAGACTCGTATCTACGAGTATTTTTTGGGTGCTAACTGCTACAGTAGCATACAAGGCAGTGCTCCTCTTTCCCAAATAAAGAAAATTTTATTTTATTTCAATCTACATATTTTTTTGTTTTTGTTTAGGAAAAGTGTTCGTCCTTTTAAATGATACAATTTATATCATTTCACTCTCACAAAGCGGTGAGACCCACACCTTTATTGTTTTTTGTCCACTCTCTCTTCACCTTTATCTATTTTTTTTTTAGTACAAATCTTTATCTATCTCTTTCTCTCACTTAAAATGACACAACTTTACATCCTTTAAAATGACACATATTTTTCCCTTTTTTTAGGCCGCACTTTTTATCCTTTTTTGAAGGATCTATGTACTACCGATGCATAGAAAAAAACTCAGAACACTGATAAAAATGTCATTGTTCATCAAATTTTTTACCCAAATACCACGCGAACAGTGTTATTTTTCAATATGACACTACTTGGAGTAACGAATTTGGTTGGAATGCATAATTTGTATGTATTGCAACCAAGTTCGCTACCCCAAGTTGCGAACTTGGTGTCTACTAAAAACGTGACACGTCAGCAAACCGAGTTCGCTACAGTGTCTAGCGAACTTGCACATGTAGTATAGAACAATGGCATTTTGTTCACTGTTCCAAAAAACTCTCCACATCCATAGACTATCTCTTGAACTGAAATAATTTTTTAATATTTTTATATATATTTCATTGATGATGCCTCTTTATTTTGTTTATACTCATAATATTAACATATTATGCATCAAATTTTTTATAAATATGAGTTAACATAATAAAAAGATATATTAGTCAGTAATAAGAGCTCAGGTTAATTAATTTAAACTTAAATTTAAATCGACATTAGATACAATTAAATAGGAATGGTTAAGAAAGTGGGACATGATATTGTGACAACCAAATAAAGTTACGACCATGTCACGACCAATCATCTCACCGTTAGATTGGTAGTAGTGATCTGACGATCCTCATTGGTCTCTTAAATAGCCCCTCTATATTCGTTTCTCTCACCCTCTTCTCTCTCTGTTCCCTTCTCTCTCACTATACACTCTGCCACCGCCGCCGCTGCCCATATTTGATTCGAGATTCATCAAAGGTATTATTAAAAAAATTTGGGCGAAGCAGATCGATCACCGTAATTTTTTTTGAGCAGATTCGTTTTTTTGATTCGAGATTCATCAAAGGTATTATTAAGATTTTATCTCTTCGTTGTTTTGATTCCTAGTGGTTACCACCCACAGGATGCAAGTGAGTTGTTCAATCAACGACATATTATGGGTTCACGAAAAACAGTACCTAAAAAAAAATGAAAAATTATTACAAATCAAAATTTGAACAGACAAGGAAATCGAATCTCGAAAAATTGAACCCTAGCTCACTTGCAAAACAAATATAGGAAATCGTGAATAATGAGCAGATCAATTATTTCGATCTTTTGACCAGATCAAAATTATGGGTTCACCTGTGTTTGTAATGGGTACGGAGGAGCATACATCAATATAGGAAATCGTGCCTTCAAAGCCTCAAAAGTTCGATCAGCGACATTATGCCTTTGATGAATCTCGAATCAAATATTAATTGGACTTACAAAACCGCGATAATTGATATGCTCAAAAAATTGAATCTGGTAAAAATCGAACCCTAGCTCGTGTATTAGGCGAAGCTCTCCGCGGGATGCAGCGGCGGCGACGCGACGGAGGCCGGCGCCACCGTCGGGACAAAGGATATGGGCAGCGGCGGCAGTGGCAGAGTGTATAGTGAGAGAGAGAAGGGAACAGAGAGAGAGGGGGGAGAGAGAAACGAATATAGAGGGGCTATTTAAGAGACCAATGAGGACCGTCGGATCGCTACTACCAATCTAACGGTGAGATAATTGGTCGTAACTAGGGGTGTAAATGGGCCAGACTGGGCTGAGCTTTGGTCTTTCTGGCCTAAGTCTACGTAAAAAAATATTCAGCCTATCTGGCCTATTGGCCTACTAAAGGCTTTATTTATTGGCCAAGTATGGCCTATTTTAAAAAATTAGAGAGTCTTATATGGCCTACAGGCCTTGTAGGCCTCCATACTGAAATATTTTTAAAAAATTTTAACAATTTTTAAAATATTCGCTTGACATTACAAGTCATTAACGTGTTCATAAATTGTTGCATTTTTTACACGAGATATAAATTTCACTAGTGAGCATTAAAAATTTTATAATAGTAAAAAAAATAACTACAAAAATATACTGAGCAAAGTTTCATTCATGCATGCACTAATACTTCTCATAATTTATAAAAAATGACAAACAATACCCCAGCTCTATAATGTATATCATATACCCTAAAATAAATATATTTTTTATTTTATTTAAAAAAATTAAATAGGCCAGCCTACAAGGCTCTAGGCCAGGCTTGACAAAATTGACCTATGGCCTACTTGTTAAAAAGGCTTTCTTATAAGCCTAAGCATACTCAACTTTTCAACGTACGCCGGGCTAGGCAAGGCTCAACGTAGGTCGGGCTGTAGGCTAGGCCAAGTCAGCCTGGCCCATCTACACTCCTAGTCATAACATTGGTCGTAACTTTATTTGGTTGTTACAATATCCTTTCTCTAAGAAAGTAGAGAAACTTTTAGCAATCACACAAATTTTTTTTTTTTTTGATAACACAAATTAATATATAATAACACAAAATTACGTAAACATATATATAAAACTGTAATTCTGTAAAGAATCTAATCAATAAAAAATTTTAAGTTGATGGGTGAGGTTATATTAATTATTTTATATACCTTTAATATGTCTTTTCACAATAGAGCCCATTGATCGAATCTGGGACATCGAATACCATATAAAAAATTAAATTAACCCAAAAACTTAAGTTGATGAATTAAGCTACATTAATGATTTTATATATTTTTAAAAAAAATTATAGTTAAAGTTTAAACGTGTTAATTAATAATTCAATTGTTTCATGTCAAACAATAGGCAAGCAAAAATGTCTAAAAAAGGGATTTGGACCCTTAAATGTGAAAAAAAATATAACATGATTATGTGAGGAATCATAATCATATATAAAGATGGATCAATGATAATAAAAGAAAAAAGAGAAAATATTAAAATAAATAATTATAAAATTATAACCATTAATTTGTTTTTATATAATTATAATTTTTTATATCACCTCATCATATTATTTTCACATGAGAAAGGTTCCATTTCCCCAAAGAAGGTATTGGTTAATTAGCCGGAAATGGAAGACGGTTAAAAAGAGACAGCATAAAAGGTGTCAACAGAAGCAGCCATTATCACTACAACCAAAACATTAATTAAAAAATAAAAAATAAAATCAGAAACTCATAATAATGTGAATGTGGAAGATGGATTCATTAAACTAAATTAGAAGTCGGTGTTGGAGTCCGAGGAAGCTTTCAATTTCAAAAGACAACCAAACAAAGAAAGAAACAACAGAAGCTGGTGTTTATTGTTATTTGTTAGAGTTAGTGTTGAGCCTCAAACAACACAACACAGGTTCCTCGCTGGAGGCCATGGTTGCTCTCCCTTCTGTGGAGTTCAAACCACTGCTCCAACGGGCTTCTTCTCTCTCTATCTTTTCTCTCTCTAGCACCTTCTCAAACTAAGTCTTATCGAGTTTTTGAATTTTTCTTCGCTAAAGGTGAGCTCTTTTGGCTGTGCCTGGATCTGGGGTTGTCTAGTTTTGGGCGGATTCTGATGGGTTTGTGCTGTTTTCACTTGTTATCCTTGTTTCTTAGCTGTTTTGGCTTCTGGATGTTGCTGCTTTTGTCGTTTTAGAGTTTATTAACGATCATTCGTGTCTGTTACAAGGTGATTCAGTTGGAATTTTCTGTTGGTAGCATAAAAACTGTTTTTTTTTTTTTTGTACTGAATTTTGTGGCACAAGAATATATTTCTTATTCTTTTTGTGAAATTTTAAGCTGGGGAAGCTTGAATCTTTGAATTATTGTGACTTGTGATCTGAGTCAGAAGTGATTACTTTTGTTTTCTGTTGTGTGTTTTCTATGAACGTGCTTAGTTTGTCTTATTTTGGGTACTGTGCTGTGGTTGATGTGAGTCTCATTGTCACTGTTTTTCAGATCAGCTTATTTGGAAAAAAGGGAGAGAGGTGGTCCTGAGTCCTGACTGGTTCAGATTCATGGTATCGTGTGCCTTACGTCGAGTTTCTTTGTCAAATATCAGCCACTTTAAGCTTCTTCTAAGATTTGACTCTGAAATGGAGGGTTTTGGTGGATGACAGTTTAAGCAAGACAATCAAAGGTTGACTTTTGTGTTTAGTATTCATATTTTGTCAAAGAGGCTGTTGCTGTTTCCAGAATAAGAAGTTTCAACAATTCAACCAGAGTACTGATAGGGTAAGTAAATTAAATTGTTACTACTCTTTTTGGGTTTGTTGAGGAGTGAGAAAATTGGTATGGCTGTTGCCAAGAGCAACAGCAACAGTGGACCTTGTACTTCATATAATTGTTACAAAGTAGCAGGCTTGACTGAAACCATATTAGACACAAACCATACCTCTAATTTGAAAGATAGGTACATTCTTGGGGAGCAGTTAGGTTGGGGACAGTTTGGTGTGATAAGAGCATGCTCTGACAAGTTGTCAGGAGAGGTTTTAGCTTGCAAATCAATTGCTAAAGATAGACTGGTTACTTTGGATGATCTGAGAAGTGTCAAGCTTGAGATTGAGATAATGGCTAGGCTATCTGGGCATCCAAATGTTGTGGATCTCAAGGCAGTTTATGAAGAAGAAGGGTTTGTTCATTTGGTTATGGAGCTTTGTGCTGGAGGGGAGCTGTTTCACCGGTTAGAGAAGCATGGAAGGTTTTCTGAATCTGAAGCCAGAGTTATCTTTAGGCACCTAATGCAGGTGGTTTTGTATTGTCATGAAAATGGGGTTGTTCATAGAGATTTGAAGCCTGAGAACATTCTCCTATCGACAAGAGCCTCTTCATCTCCAATTAAATTGGCTGATTTTGGGCTTGCAACTTACATTAAGCCTGGTACTTGCTTTCTTTGCTTCCTTTGTACTTTGCAGAATATAAATCTTAGTTTAAATTTCCATTGTTCCTATGAATGTGTGTGGTGTTTATCTTCAAATATTGGGCTTTGTTTAAGCAGGACAGAGTTTGCATGGGTTAGTTGGGAGTCCATTCTATATAGCTCCAGAGGTACTTGCTGGTGCATATAACCAGGCTGCTGATGTTTGGAGTGCAGGGGTTATTCTTTACATTCTATTGAGTGGGATGCCTCCATTTTGGGGGAAGACCAAATCGCGGATATTTGAAGCTGTTAAGGCTGCTTCCCTTAGGTTCCCATCGGAACCTTGGGATCGCATTTCTCAATCTGCTAAGGATTTGATCAGGGGAATGCTGTGTACAGAACCTTCTCGAAGGCTTACTGCTCAAGGGGTTTTAGGTAAGTTTTCTTCTCCTCCCTCCCTTGCTAGTGTCTATCTGCTGAAGCTATTTTTATTTAGATTCATCATTGAAGTTATAGAGCATTTTAGACAAGCAGGATAATGGCAGTTCAACTGAGATATAGACTACTATGCAAAAGTTGAACATTAAAAGATTATTAAAATATTATAGAGCACATGATAACTTAATTGGAGCATTAAAAATATGCTTATTCTTCTTATGAAACCAATTGCCTGACAGTTCCATTCTCTTAGATCATGGCAAATGGTTCAGCAATGAAGTTATGTCATAATGCCGAAAACTATTAAAACTAAAAGGCATTTTTAATGAGGTTGGTGGTCTTTCCCTGGCGCGTCTTCGCCTAATCTAAACTTCTGTCTACTTAAGAAAAAGTGGAGGATATTTACAGTATGAAATTCATCCTATTTAGTCATTTATGGTATGCGTTTGCAATACATTATTCTTTAAGACAATAAAAACAAAAGAAATGAAAAATCAAATGAATATATTTTCTAATCTTCATCTGAACTTTCCCTTTCTAGATCATTGCTGGATGGAAAGCAATCAAACAAATACTGAACAACTAAGTACACATAAAATCCGACGTTGTGAAGAATGGGATGTTGGTGGCAGCTCATTCTCTGCCTCTTTTATGTCCAGGAATCAGGACATCAGCTTTGGCACGGGATCGCCTACTTGTGATGCTCAATCAACTACATTCACTTGCAGATCATCGTTTTCTTCTTTTTTTGTGGAACCGGTTACTCCTTGTTTAATTTCTGGTGGGTTTTCATTTCGGAGCACAGACGATTCAACAAGTTTGGAATTTTCTTCTCCTGTTGTTCCCTCGATGCTTAGCTTTTCATTTCTTAGCCCCAGTTCTGTTGTTGGGAAAAAGAGTTGTAATTTAGAGTGCTCAGCTAACATGTCAGATGTAAATGCAATTGCTGGAGGTATGTATAGAGCTTTTCATATTAACTATCATTACTTTTTCTTAACTCCTAGGTCTGATTTTGTTTGCAATTTCTTGTAGAAGAAGCAAGCTTGGGAAAGTTGCTATTACTACCAGATTCTCCCCTTTGCGTTGGACTTGATGTTAAAGAAATGGATCGCAAGGCTATAGAACCTAAAAGAGCTGGTGGAATGAATGGACATAGGGTATTGGGAATCCACAGCAAGAGAAATAGGACAATTGGACTTGGTGAGTGTGAGCAACTTGACCTTGTGGTGACTGAATCAGTCATTCGCTGGTCATCATGCACTCAACTCCCTACATCTTTGAGATCATCTCTTGTCTGCTAAAAAGATAGACTTTTCCACTGATTAATGGAATAGGTTCATGTTGTGCCTAAATTTCGGCATATCCGTGTAAATTTTTGCCTCCTCAGAGAAGTGTATATGTTTCCTTACTTGCATTTGTCGACCTCAGTTAGTTTGGAATAAAAGTGATGTTGATATAGATTGTCTTCTTGTTGGTGTGAGGTTTAGTTTAGATTTGGTGAGGGTTTAATGATGTGTCTGATTGAAAAGTGGTGCTATACTAATTGCTCACTTTCTTGTTTTTCCTCCTCTTTTTCCGTTCTCATGTCATGTACATTGGGTGTGAGTAAAAGGCTTTCATTCTACTTAGTTTGTAAATGAAGTTTGTGTCTTTATGATAGTACTTCAGTTATCTTAACATTATGTTTCTTTCTGTAACGCTTTTTTAAGCTCGTGAACATGTTACTATTAGCTTTTATGCATGTCTTTTATTTATTTATTATTATATATATATATATATATATAAATCATTTAGTATCTGGTCGTTAAAGGGCATCAATTAATCTGAATTTGAGCGGGGCAGGACTACAAGGATAGTTAAGTTTTTTTTATCAAATTTTAATGCAATTACATATCTAGGATCGGAATTTAAGATTACTGGTTAAGCTAGAATAAAAGAACATGGAGCTAATATCTTTTTCTTGTTAAAGTGTCACTTTTGGATTTTAAAATATAGTTACTTATAAACTAAACTGTACTAACCTAAATGCTGATAATTTTCATGACCCCATTAATGAACTTCGGTTCTATCATTTCTGCGGGGCTCTTGCTTTTATTGGTATAAGGTTTTTCGTCAACGTGTAAAGCCCTTTGTAAATTATGTCAGGCCTAAATTAACTAATAATAACTCATTTTGGCGTCAAGGAATTAAGCAGGTAAGGGTGAAAATATGTGCTTGACTTTTTTCAATATTGTATTTGTAAGGAATTTAAAATTTTAATTTTAAAATTCATTCTGAATTATATTAGTCGCAAAATAATAAATTGATTAAAATATTCCAAAAAGAAATTATTTCATGGGATGATTTTAAATGTGTTGAACCAGCAAGCCAGCAAGTGATGGTTGTAATTACTAGTCCGTGACATCTCACACAAAGCTATATGCGTGAAGAGTTGGTAGGTTTGTCATCATTTGTTAGGCCAGAAGTCAATGCCACCTTTTTGTGAAAATAGTATATATTAAGGCCCGGATGGAAACAATCATGGCAGGCATGACAACTTCGTGATTCCAAAACTTTTTTTTTCTTTCGAGATTATTTCCGTTATCTTTATAAATCTTTCATACACTTCAAGATAAATGCATATTATTAAGAAAAAGCTACAATAGAATTAAGGTGTTACTTCATAACTTACATGAAAACATGAAGATTTTATAACGATAGTATACTTTAAATTATGGTAAGATATTCAACATTCAAAATATAAAATTATGAGTATCGTAGCAATTTTCTTTTTTGGCATATAAAGTTTATAGTTTTGGGTTCACTTCGGATCATGTGACTAAAAAATTTCTATAAAACTTGTCCAAGAAAAAATGTTCTATATGTTTATAAGAGAAAAGGAAATGAAAGAGCAAAAGGGTCTTGCTCCACCACGAGTATAAAGTGCAGAAACAACACTTTGAAAGTGAGGGCCTTATCTATTTGGTGATGCGAAAGATGCTATTTCACTAGGCAATAACACAGCACAGCCAATAATAATGTTATGCTACCCTTGTTTCTTTAGAGACACAAAAACACTACAAAGTTAATGTCTGCTTTGTCAAAACTGCACACATGATTCTGTCCCTGGCCCTGGGGTTGAGACACAGAAAAGCTATGGCAAAATGAAATGGGGATATCTCTTGATGTCTAATGCAAGTTGTCTTGCAAGGTAAAACTTGATACAAGTAAGGGTGATAAACGAGTCAGGGGCCTTTGGCTCGGCTCATGAAGGCTCATGCTTACATGCCTAATATTGGTTGTTGGAACCAGGTTTGGACTTGTATAAAAGCTCGTTTAGTAAAAAGGCCTCAGGCTCCAATTCAAAAGCTCGGCAGCTTCTCAGGCTGGCCTAGTATATTAATTTTTATTTTTATTTATATTTTTTATACTATTTGTAATAGCCCACTCTCTCCTCTCAATCCATTTCATTCTATTTTATTAGTTAAACAGGCTTTTTGAATGATTTTGTTCTATATTATGTTGTTTCGATATATATTGAATTTATGAATATTTATGAAATTACTTGTGTTGTTGATTGTATATTCTGTTTGGATAAATTTTTATTGTCTTATTTTAGTCTAACAAACTAACAGGCCAAATCAGGCTTTTTTTTTGTAAATAAGGCAAGCCACAGGCCGATAAATATATTCGTAACAGGTAACAGGCTTGATAAGGCCGACACATTTAATCACAGACTTAACCTTTTAAGACCAAAGCTCGGCTCGGCCCGTTAACACCCCTAGATACAAGTGTCACAAGTATATTTGCACCTGGCCAATTATTGCCCTATTCTTACCATTATGCTCAATGATGTCAAAATAACAAAAAAAAAATTGATACTCTATGATTGCTTGTTATGCTATAATTGCTTCTCATGTTCTCAAACATAATGAGGAATTTAATGCCAAGAATTTGGAGTCAACGTGTAGATGACATGACATTTGCTTTTCAAAGGGTACTTCTTAACTCGAGGGTATTACTATTGTGACAATCCTTTGTATAAAAACAAATATAGTCACAAAATTATTGGATTTTATCTTCTAATCATGATATTTTAGTTTCTGTTACGAGATGTTTATCTGAACAAAGTTGTAGTTATCTGTGAAATGACGCTTGAGTTGCCATTGATAAATATCAGTGCAGGCAGTGTTCAAGTCAGTATGTGTATAAGATAAAATATGTGTGCCTACAATCGTACCTGTTTATATGATTCAAGGGTGAAGACCTTCATCGTTATATGATGGTTTGGAGGGATGACCTTGCGCAAGTGAATGAGATAGGAGTATAGAGTTTCAATAATATTTATCACGTTTGTAGGAAATAAATTTATCTCGTACCCATACATAAAAATATGTATCTCCAACATTAAAAATAATAATCCCTTACCATGATGGTTGTTTATGGTAGATTAACAACTTGAGTAATATAATGACCAGTCATCCGAGGAGCTTTCAACAGAGACAAATATTGAGAGATTGACGTATTTGATTGTATTATGATTTTTTTTGTTCTTAAAATTATTTTATAGAATTATTAATGAAACAAGTGGTTTAAGTGTTTTTTTTGTTTTGAGAGTTAAAAATCAAAATACAAAATAAAAACAATTCAGAAAATATTCTTTAAATTTGATTCTAAAAATTAAAAAACAGTTATAATTTTTGGAACTATTTTTACAAAACAGATCTTATCAAATATTTTTTTTTTTTTTAAAATCAAAAAATTGTTTTCAAAAACAGTAAACAAACATGCCCCTTATTTTCATGTTGGGATGAGTTGGGTTTTTATTTTATTTTCTTCCCTCAAAAGTAATTTTTACAGTAGGCGATAAAAACCAATTTTTTATTGTATTAAAAAAAAAAAAGCATTTCCAACTGATTCTTCATACTCAATTGCCCACTTGGTCAATGAAACAACTCAAGAATATTCCAGCAATAATACTAAGATCTCAAAATTTTGAGAGCTTTTGGCATACTTATACACATGCTTGGGGCTCTTTGAAGAAAAATTATCAGTGATGCTGCTAAAAAATTAGGCAATTGAATAAGAGTCTGTCAAAAGCCATCTCACCTAAAAAAGTTCTAATTGTATATTTGGATCTACCCCACAAATAAAAATGGGCGTCTAATGGGAACAGTGACCATTTTGTCACGTTTGGATAAAAAAATTACCAAACTGCTACGTTAATAGTAAATTTTGTCAAAATGTCACTCGACATAATTCGCTACACAGTGTAGCGAATTATGCCACGTCAGAACTCAAAATGCTACATGTCAAATTTTGAGAAATTCGCTACCCTATGTAGCGAATTTCTCAAAATTTGACATGTGACATTTTTGTTTCTGTGCATTCTGACGTGGCATATTTCGCTACATTGTGTAGTGAATTACTTGCATGCATAATTCGCTACACTGTGTAGCGAATTATCTCACGTGACATTTTGACAAAATTTACGATTGGCGTTGTATTCTGATAATTTTTTTGTCCAAGCGTGACACTTTGGTCACTGTCCCCGTGTAATGTTGTGGACAAGCAACAAAAAGCAGCATCTCTTTCATTAGTTAATAGAACCGTGCAGACTATAATCATGTAGCTGCCTGCTACATCCTCTATTGTAATTAGCAGTAAGAGCCCGCTTGTGTGGTTTTATCAAAAAAATAATTTTTATCTCTTTCTTATTTCAGAAGTGTTTTTTATAAAAGTTAAAGTTATTTATATTTTTATAAAAATATTTAGTTTTTGAAAAAAAAATATTTGACTTTTGGCTTTTACTTTTACTAGAAGTTAAAATTTTTAGCTTCTGAAAAAAGTAAATTTTGACTTTTTTTGTGACTTCTACTTTCTTTAAAAGCAGACATCCAAACAAACTAGAAATGAAAAGTGCATTTTTTTTCTTCTCTCTTTTAGTGGGTCCCTCTTTTGGTTGAGTTTGCGGGAAAATATTTGCTTCTTCATGTTGCATAAGAATTATATTGTGCTGGGAAAGAACATGTGTTCAATCATTTTCAGTATCATCTTAAAAAAGGGTTTAAAGTTGTAATCTTATGACGTACCCCGAATCGGACTAGTCGCAAAACAATGAAATGATTAAAATATTTCCAAAAAAAAATATATTGCTTTTAATTTATATGAGAGAAGTATTTTTTCTATGCCATAGACTCAAAAAAAATTGTTTATTTGTATTTAAAAAATATGATGGCCCCACCATTTGTGTTTTGGGCAAAAATCTTCAAGTGCTTGGGAGACTCAAAGCCCAATTTATATATATGAAAACTTTTGAGAACCAAATCATTATAAGTTAACATATTTTAAATATGGCTTTAATATTAAACAAGTTATCTACATTTGCTTCTAAAATAATATTGTTTTGGGTTGAAAAATTAAAAAATTATAATAAAAAAAACTATTTTAATCCTGAAATATATTATAATTACAAAAATAACGTGATTTTCGTCCCAAAACGACATCGTTTTGAGCTCAATGTAAACACGTTATTTTGACTGTAGAAAAAGCAAATTTTTTAAATATTTATAACTCTATATAATATTAACAAAAACGGCAGTTGATATCACACTTTGGAGATAATATTTAGAGCTCCGAGCAGGGAATAAAATTTTCAAACTTTGACCATAGAGGACACCGCGGCTGCAGCAGCCTATCAATCCAGGTTGTTGCTCTGAGACAACATTAACCTGACCATGAGTTAGGTAATTGGCACCTAGATTTGGGTCGTCGCTCAATTATACCCTCATATCTTGGGGCCCTCCTTCAATTACTAGTGCAACAAACGGATCCATCAAGAGCCTAAGAAGTAGTGATACTTTCCACCATTTTATTGCACCCCCTCCCCCGAATTGGGTGAGACAGTGATCATTTTGTTACGTTTGAACAAAAAAATTATCAAACTGTCATGTCAACAGTAAATTTTGTCAAACTGCTACGCGGCATAATTCGCTACACAGTGTAGCGAATTATGCATGCAAGTAATTCGCTACACAGTGTAGCGAAATATGCCACGTCAGAACCAAAAAGTGCCATGTGTCAAAATTGTTGAAATTCGCTACCCTATGTAGCGAATTTCAACAATTTTGACACATGACACATTTTGGTTCTGTGCATTCTGACGTGGTATATTTCGCTACATTGTGTAGCGAATTACTTGCATACATAATTCACTACACTGTGTAGCGAATTATGTCGCGTGACAGTTTGACAAATTTTACTGTTCGCGTGGTATTCTGATAATTTTTTTGTCAAAGCGTGACATTTTGGTCACTGTCCCCAATTGGGTTACAAACATAAGTTAACATACCCGACATTTTCAGTTGTGGTCCGAACGTTTTTAAAGACTAACCCGATCTGTGATTCATGTGGCCCTTTAATTGTTTCCTCGTTCTTAATTTCATTGTTTTCTTTGGAGGTTTCCTTTGGATAAGCTTGGAACAACCACACTTAACCACAGCGTATGACAATAGACCAAGCAACATACTCATTGATCTAAGTCACAACCAAGAAGATAAGGGATCTTGATTTTTATGCATTGGAATCATGTTCCATATAGTAGGGTAAATAGGTTAAAACACTTATTAGGATCTACCACCCAATCTATATCAAGTTAAGCATCATATATTTAATATAATAAAATAGGTTCAAGTCTTAAAAAAATCTTATTTAGAAAATTGATCTAAATAAGTCTACATATCGGGCTTTTTGACCATTATAGCCTTTTTTTAATAATTAATTACTAAATTGATCCTGTTTATAAACTATTTCAAAAATTTAACCTCTTCAGAAAACATAACACCAATCTGCCCCTGTTTGACCGTTGACCATGAAGCCTACCCGGGTACACCCCTCCCTACCCGGGTATATTCTGAAGTTTTTAACATACCCGGGTACACCCCTCCCTACCCGGGTATATTTCTTGAATCTAGAAAAAGTTTGAATTATTTACCCGGGTAGGGAGTGGTGTACCCGGGTAAATAATTCATACTTGTAATCTTGAAAAGTGTGGATTCTTAATTTGAATTAGGGGATAATGGAAGAATAAGAACCACTTGCAATCAGTGCCGATTTGGCATAATAATTTGGGCTTGCATTCCTTGCTATTGAGATATGTGCAAACTGAGTTGTGGTCGAGATCTAAAAACTGAGAAGTGAATTTTTGATGGAATACACAATTGCTATATGCCTATATCAACTCTGAGGTGAGGAGAGAGAGCTTTGCGAGGTCTGTTGAAGAGATCAGAGACCAAGCTTTTTGTGAAAGTATGATGATATTTGTGGGTGGCAGAATGGAGACTGAGGTACCTACCATGCCCTCTTTCTTGTCTCCTACTTAAGCCCTCTGTTTTTCTATCCCTCATTTACATAAACCATTAAAAGAAAGGCTTCAAACTCAAAAGAACAAGCTAGAAAATCCAGAGCATATAGGACCACTCATTATCTATATGCATGACAAGCATATAGAGTAGAGAACAGTTAAAATTTTGTCAGTAATGTAGGACCCTTGATCTTCCCTGTTGGAGATGGCAACAACACGAGACTTGGCTATGAAGAATCCCAAAGGAATGGCCAGTTACAACACTTTGAATTATTTACCCGGGTACACCACTCCCTACCCGGGTAAATAATTCAAACTTTTTCTAGATTCAAGAAATATACCCGAGTAGGGAGGGGTGTACCCGGGTATGTAAAAAACTTCAGAATATACCTGGGTAGGCTGTACCCGGGTAGGCTTCATGGTCAACGGTCAAATAGGGGCAGATTGGTGTTATGTTTTCTGAAGAGGTTAAATTTTTGAAATAGTTTATAAACAGGGTCAATTTGGTAATTAATTATTAAAAAAAGGCTATAGTGGTCAAAAAGTCCTACATATCGGTTTATATTATATTACTTATATTAAATAAAATAAAGTAAAGTTATTATTTGAAAAATTTTAAATAATAAAATAATTTTTTCAATAATTGTTTTTATAGGTCTTGAAGACTAATAAACTTTAGCAGGTTAAGAAGTTTACCCCAGACTTTTGATTTTTAATTTTACGTCAAATCATGCCTATAATGTAGCTTTTTTTTTTTTTTTGTTAATCTATAATACAGCCTTTATTAGGCTAGCAGGACATCTCAAATTCAAAATTATATAAAATTAATCTATTTAAATCAAAATCTAACTTAATTTAACTTAATTTAACCTATTTGTACTCCAACTTACATAGAAGAAAATCAATGTGGTGTACGCGTTGGTCGTATTTTAGGGTCTGTTTGAATTATGTTTTTAACAATAATATTTTTATTTCTACAATAAAAAATATAAAAAACCTATTTGATTCTTGTTTTGTAAAAATAATTTTAAAAATAATTTTATTTTTTAGCTTTTAGAATCAAATTTATAAAACATATTTCAATTGCTTCTGTTTTGTGTTTTTGACTTTTAACTTTAAAAAAAAAAACCTATTTCTTTAACTACTCTATAAAATAATTTAAAGAAAAAAATAATAGAACACAATTTCCAAAATAAAAAACTGTTTTTTAATTTTCTGAATTTCGTGTTTGTTTTATTATTATTAATTTTTTAAAGGGAGCATAGTAAATCTTGTTTATCATAGAAGCTCTTTACAATTATGGAAAACAACAAAAAGCGACATGAACCATTTTATTTGTTTTCTCTACTCAATACTACTAAAATACCAAGTGCCATGTGTTGATTGCAGATTGCACAAACTGAGAGAGACCTCAAATGAAAAGATAAGATTCATAACCATAACCATAAACCAAACCAGCCTCATGTGTTTGGTTATTCCACTTGGTTTTACTCACCAAAACTTATCTAGAATTCAACCTCTCTTTTCTTCAGCAAGAAATCATAGACACTAGATGAGTTCTAAAATAAACTCCTTAAGTCCACCAATTCCATGCAACTTTTACACAAAGAAACCAAAGCTTAGAAGAAGAAACACCGTTATCTTCTCTTCCTCTACGTCCAGTGAAAAGCAACCAAAAACCATTGAAACCCCAACAACTGAGACTTACACTGTTAGTTTTAAGACAGAAAGGGCTTGCAAGCTTGGCATTTCAAGATACCCTGACTTTGACTATGATGCAGAGGGAGGAATAGGAAATGGGTCTGGTACAAAGGTAACAGATAATCAAGCTAACAATGACTTACTTGTTTCATTTGATCCTGAAACACTGTATATTCCACCATTAACAAGTTCTACAACCAAGTTTTTGGGATTCCCATTGCCACCACTTTTGAAGATTGACATAGTTCCAGAAGCATTCCAAGGAAGTATTAACCTAGAATCTGGCAAGGTAATTCATATAAGTTATGGATATTATACTTCTTCAATTTTAATAGGTTGTGCATTACGGAACAACTTTGAGTGACTCTAATACTTAGTCCATATCCACTCCTCATAGTGTAATAAAATCATATGAACCAAACCAAACTGAGCTGCACCATATTTTTCCGTCTTATTCAAAACCCCTATTATGAAATCTCTTTTCTCCCACTTCACACCTCGGAACACACCCTTCTTATAGAGGGACGCTTTCACATCTTCTTAAGTCGAAATGAAATGGCTGAGGAGAGGAAATGTTTTTCTTTTTTAAGGTATTTCGGGGAACAGATCCAGTGGAGACGGGGTGAGGCCTGTAGCTCAGAGGATTAGAGCACGTGACTAAGAACCACGGTGTCGGGGGTTCGAATCCCTCCTCGCCCACAACCAGCCAAAAGGGGAAGGACCCTTCCCTCTCAGGGTAGAAAAATCATGATCAGGCTAGCGGACCCAGTTTAAGAATCAAACCACTATTTAAAACTACTTCAATTTGTTCGAACTAAACCAGGTTCGGTTTGGTATAAAAAACCAAACTGAAACATGCATGCCCCTAAATATGAACTGAATCGGATTGGTAAACGGGTTTGGTTCTTGAATTGATTTAAAAAACATGGTTCTTTTTATGCGGTTCCGATCAATTCACAGTTTAGTTCGATTCATTTGATTTTATTTGGACACCCCTAATACTTATTCTAACGTGTCATAGGAATCTCTTTGATTTAGTTCCATATGCACCCTGTTGAGATATGATTGCTATGGTTTATTTTACAAGGTTGATCTTGAGTTCAAGGCCAAGTTCTTGTTTTCTGCTGGAGGTCTATATAAGGCTCCTCCACTGCTGGTGAAGACAGTGTTGACATCTGAAGAATCAAAGGGGACAATGAAGAGTGGAAGAGGCAAGAGATTGGATGAAGAAGGGAAGTGCAGACTGGTTGGAGTGGCAACAGTTGATCCTATTGATGATTTCCTTATGAATTCTTTCCTTGGTCTTCCAACTGAGTGCCTTGCTGACCTAAATGCTGTAATTTCTATTTCTTCCTCGTCTTAAGATCTCCTCACAAAATCTGGACATTGTTGTAACCTACTTATAGTTATTGTATCCACATTGGAAATTCAATGTGAAATAGTGCAAAGTGAGTCAAAGACAACAGTTAAAATTGGACTAGTTTAGCTATTTTAGCCAAGTGACTTGATAGTCATGTATGACACTTTATATATAGCAGCAAGTTGTAGTCATTATTGAAATGTATTGCAATTTGTTGTTCAAAGCTATTTATAGTTATTGTATCCAAATCGGAAATTCAACGTGAAATAGTACAAGGTGCATTGAAGACACCGGTTAAAATTGGACTAGTTTAGCCATCTCAGATTTGTGACCTGATAGCCCCCTTTAGCACTTTGAAATCTACACAAAATAGAAGAGCGAAGCCTAATATAATATAAACCATTATTCTACTGCAAGTTGTGAAAAATTTATTTCCAGGTGTAAGGGGTGTTAAACACGTTGCTTATAAAAGAAATACAGTTAAGAAGCATGTCGATTGATCATAAATTTTTTCTCTTTATAGAAAAATTAATAGTTATTTGTTAGTCACTGTTAAAACAGAATCATTTTTCATTGTGCAACTATTAAAGAAAGAATACCAAACTCACTGTTAAAGAAGCATTTCCTTACCCTGCATCATATAACATTTTTTCTTTTACTTTTTACGCATCAAAATAACAATGAAATGATAAAATCAATTTGAAGCAACAGGATGAGGCCTTGTACTCTAAAATACCACGACATGCGAGTAGCTACAGCCAATCATCCATTAATTACACTATTTCTTCTTCTTTTTTCCCCTTGTTATGATACACATCTCAACCAAACCAGTACCCTTGTGCAAGCACCAAATGTCATCAGGCAGCATTCACTTTGAGGCAAAAACTATCTCTGCTAATGCCATAGATGACTTGTTTAGTTTGAAAACTAGACTAGCCAGTAAAATATCCAGTTGAATGTCTCATGCATTGCTATTTCGTATAACAGGAAGTATTAACACCTTCATAGTATTAATTCATTCAAATGCAAGCCTTTGAGTGGCAACCAGTGAAGCATATTGGCCCTTCTTAGCCAACAACTCAAAATGGGTGCCTAGTTCTACAATCCTCCCATCAGAACAAAGTGCAATTTGATAGGCATTTTGGACCGTGCTTAATCGGTGAGCTATTACTAATGTTGTCCTCCCCTTCATCAAATGGTTGAGAGCGCTCTGGACCAAGCGCTCACTGACGGCATCTAGGGCACTGGTGGCCTGCAACACCAAAAAATATCTTAATGAAGACAGGCATAAATAGGGTCAGATAGATATCAACTTAAAGAATAGCAGGGAGGGTTTTTCATGGCTGCATGTTGCTCTGCCTCCCAGTGAATCCAACCTCATTGTATGGATGAACTGAAGCATATAGAAAAGCATACAATTCAACAAAAATATCACCTCATCAAGTATAAGGATGGGAGCATTCTTTAGGAGAGCCCGGGCAATAGCAATTCTCTGCAATTTAGAATAGTAGTCAATAATCTCTGAATGTGTAAATGCTGAAAATGCATGCCCATGCAAATGAAGGGTTGTATATGTAAAGTTTAAACTCTACTGTACCTGTCTCTGCCCTCCACTCAGTAGGCCGCCGCGCTCACCAACAAGTGTATCATAACCCTTTCCAGAAAATATGAACATTAAGGAAACATTTTATCAATTGTATGTATATAAAAGCATCTGCATATACAGAAGACAAACCAACCTGTGGAAGTGAAATTATAAAATCATGAGCATTTGCAGCTTTCGCGGCCTTAATCACATCGTCTTTAGAAACATTATCATCTGGAAGCCCATATGCAATATTTTCTCCAACAGACACCGAAAACAGAACAGGCTCCTGTAATACCTTAGTATTATTTGTAAACAAATGAAGCAATATATTTGAAATCAAACACGAGATTCTTTTTTTTTTTTTTCCTTTCCTTTTTTAGTTTTCATACTTGATTCACAATAGAGACAACCCGGGCCCATTCACTCTTGTCAAATGTTCTGACATCCTCTCCTCCAACTGTTATACAACCTCTTGCTGGCTACATAAACAAGAATCACTTGATGTATATGCTTTTCTTGAAAAAGAAGTCAAATGACACTTGAACCTACAACTGAAGAATAGAAGTTAAACCTCATAAAAACGAGACAGTAGCTGTACTATTGTACTTTTGCCTGCACCACTAGGACCCACCAGTGCAGTTACAGTTCCACATTTTAGTCTTAAATTTAAGCCACGTAAGATTTCTACATCTGGCCTTAAAGGATAAGAGAAATACACATCTGCAGTATAATATAAGCATAGTCATTGACAAAGCAGAAAAAAACACACCACAAAGTAAATCAGATCTATTATGTTATTGTAATATTTAACAATCTCTTGGTTATTATAGAACTAGTTCATATCCATAAGAATAAAGTATGCGAGCTTGTGCAAGAGAGAGAGAGAGAGAGAATAAGAAACTTAAGCTTCACAAATCAGATTGGACACAAATAACTAAAAATAACAGTAAATGATTATATTTCTTCCACAAGCTCCTATCACTGTAATTCTATCTTTGAAAAGTATGATTTAAATACCATGACAAGCAGAAAGCAATCAGCACACAGTCAAAATCCCTCAAAAGGAAATTCAACCATTTAGTTACTGAAACTTTGGAAGCTCATCTCATAACTAAAACAGAATAAGTAAGATGACGAAGCTCCCATTACAAGAACATAGGCAAACATGACTATTGATATACAAAAATCATATATTAAAACAACACATCTTAAGAGACACAAATAAAATTGCAATAAAGATACCTTCAAGACAAACATCTCCAGACCAAGCTAAGCTAAACAAATTGTTTGATGTTTTTAGTGCTGACATGTAATGCAGATAATTTTTTTGGTCTTTCTCAGCAGAACTATTTGAGAAGAACAATTTATAGTTTTCATCTTCCACTGCTTTTTGTTTCAGTTCTCTTTCTAAGCCATAGGCAAGGGCATCGTCAACTTGAACTACAGACAAAACAGAATTGATCCTCTCAACAGCAGCAAAAGTTCCACGAAGATCTCCAAAAGTATTAACCAGTCCTTGAACCTGAAAGACATAATATCAGACAGCAAAGAGAGGACGGAAAAATAAAGTGAAACAAGAAGTCAACAACTCAATTTGCTTACAGCAAATGTTAAAGTGAAAGTATATCCTATAAAAGATGCCATAGATCCAACAGAGAGCTCACCCTGAAAGCAAGAATTAAGAGCAAGTCAGACAGATTCATGAATGATTTCAGTGGTGGGAAATCCTTGGAAAAGAAACAATAAGAAAAGGACGTATAGAAGGATAAATAATCAGATGCAAAAATATATTTAAGTAGCAAAAATAATCACGGCCAACATCTATTAGGGAAGAAAAGAAGAAAGAAGACTGTGATTATGTTTGTCATTATAGAGAAAAAAGAGAAAAGCTTCATAAGCTAGAATTGCTTACCGCCTTAACTTTGCTTCCTCCGAGACAATATAATGCGATTAAAGAAATATAAACAGCAACTCTAGTCAAGGATTCATTTACAGACTTGAAAGTTCCCAGCTTTATCCCACTTGATTGGAAAGAAAGAACCTGTATGGAAATCATAATTAACATGAAAGTATCTAGAGGGTATCACACTGTTTCTGACAACAGCTATTGATCCTTGAATAATTTTACCTGGTTAGCAAATGTGAACATTTGGCGCTTTTCACCGCCAAAGGATCTTACCTATAAGCATGTATGTCATTGATTCAGCTGTCAATTACAAATCCAAGCCTTCATAATTCACAAGGCAAATGTTTATCATAAAAATATGAAGTATTGGGAACTCACTGTTCGAATGGCAGAAAATGTTTCCGTTACACAGTCAGATATATATGCTTGGGCCAACCCATGTGATTTAAAAATTGGCAAAGTGGATCTCTTGTAGACAGCTTCAGAGAACCAAAAAGAATCAGCAGCAGGGAAGAAAAGATGAAATGACAAATAACATGACCCAAATTTTTTTTCGTTGTACAATGTATTTATAATTCAAGCTACATACAATTGTTAGCTTTTATAAATAAGCTATTTGTGAAATTAAGATGCCATTTGCCTTAATATATTTAAGAAGGGAGGAATAAAATGATGGATGATTATATTTCTGCCTTTTATAACAAACCAGTGAAACCACAACAATGTTGAAAACCTAGAACAATTTGGTCATTAAATTGATATCAATAAATACAATAGAAATTTACCAATTGAAAAGGAAACAGCAAGCATCAGAACAGCCAGAATGGGTGCCAGTTGAGGGGATAAAGAAAAAAGTATGAATAATGTCCCAATGACCTACAAGGACAAAGAAAACAGAAGAATCAATGACACAGATGAACGAGAGCAGCAAATTGCAAACTTAAATATGCATGAGTACAACATAAGTGACAAAAAAGGAATTGAGATTCTCTCTTGAAAGGAAAGTCAACCCAACAAAGTGAGAAAGGAATCATACACATGCTTAAATATAGGAAATATATAGCTCACTTCTCATTGGTGTAGAATTGCTTGCCTCAGATAATGCCCTGAATCCGCGGTCCCTTGAAACATTCTCACTGACAATATCTTTAAGAGAACCCAAATCAGATGTTAACAAACCAGTGAGTTCACCAACCTATAAGAAGCAAACCCAAGAAAGTGAAATAGTTTTTGCACCTACTCTGTATCATTAAAGCAAAAAAAACAAATGAGGTATTATACAGCTTAGTAAAATGAAAATTTTATATTTTTTCAAAAATGTATTAATACGAATAAAATGGAATTGCAGAAGATTAAGTTACTGCAACAGATGGCAAAGATAGGGAGAGAAAGAAAGAAGAGAAAACAGAAGCACTGCAAGAAGAGGGGAAGGAAGACAGAGACAAGAAAATACCGTGTACAAAAATCAGGCAAAAGCAACATAACAATATTATCTGTACATGTTCTCATCTCTCAACCAAAATATATCAAGAGATTCACACATGGAAAAGTAAAAGCACATATAACATAATTAATTCCGTATGCATACCTTGTATTTGTCAAAAAATTCAATCTGCATAAATAAAAAGAACACTATATGATTAAACAACCAAAGCAAAATAATTTCTATCCAATAATTCAAATTCCAAACAACCATACATGTTCTCTAAAAAATAACTAAATAAAAAAAATAGAGAAAGAAAATAAAAATGAGGAGGACAGTTAAGAAAGATTTGATTTGACTTTACCTTTTGAATCAATATTCTTCCAAAGACCTGTGCTCTTAGTGTTGACATAACTTTCTCCCACACAATGTTCATGTTTATAACAAAAACAACAGTTAAAAGTGGCTCCAGGGCATACAGAATCCCAATTTTACTGAGCAGCCTCCATAATGGTTCTGGTCTAGCACCAATAAGAACTTCGAAAAACCGCCCTAAAAGAACAACAACACATAAGAATGTGTGAGTGTGTGTATATATATATATATATATATATATATAGTGAAATCACACATGAACAGCGGGTAAAAAGGAATCAAAAGATAAAAAACAGCACCCCAAATGCTATAATTTCTAATGCTGCAATAACAACTGACTGTTGAATACAAGCAGAACAAGTTAGAGAGACTTGCATAACAACCCAAATAGTTGTTGAACACAACATGTCATACAAATCTCAATATGATTAACTTCAAAAATAAATTACAGCAACCCTTCTACTCTGAGTTGATCAAACAGGAAAGAACCTTCATTTTTAACAACCTAGAATATTTTCCATAAGATAAAATTGTTCCATTTTCTGAGACATAAAGAAGGAGAGATTTTATTCAAGTCCTCCAAGAACAATTTTTTACATAACCCCATTTGATAGGCATGTAGCTGCAGCAATCAGAGAGCAAAAGAATTGGAAAAAGAAGAAGTAAAGATCACAAACAGAAAAACTGTTAATTAACCATTTGAGTGGATATTCATTAATCTCACTCCTTGAACATCTTAGTTGTTTTATAATATGCTATCATCATAGTCCCTATAGTCATTTATACTTCTATGCTTTTGGGTAAAGGCACACAATTGTTGGGAAATTCGTTCCCTCAAACTCCAATGTCAAGCGGGTCCAGGGGAAGCCCGTGGCGGGGGCCACCACCAATGAGCTAAGGCTACACCAACCGTAGCAAGTGGATCCGACACCATGTCTCAACCCAAAACCTTAAGGCAATGGGTTCATGGGTCCTTTCACTTATATACTCTTCACTTAGCTCATTACCAACCAATGTGAGACTCATCACACTTGAATATCTCAACAATCTCCCCCTCAAGTGTGAAACCCACCATTGGTATGCTCCCCCTCAACCGAGTACCCGAAGCGCAAAGTACTCGACCCGCCTCCTAGCCAATCACTAGGCTAGCTCGAGCCCAATCCGACTCTGATACCACTGTTGGGAAATTCGTTCCCTCAAACTCCAATGTCAAGCGGGTCCAGGGGAAGCCCGTGGCGGGGGCCACCACCAATGAGCTAAGGTTACACCAACCGTAGCAAGTGGATCTGACACCATGTCTCAACCCAAAACCTTAAGGCAATGGATTCATGGGTCCTTTCACTTATATACTCTTCACTTAGCTCATTACCACCAATGTGAGACTCATCACACTTGAATATCTCAACAACAATGACATTACATAAAAGAGTGAACTTTTAAGCAATTAAAAGGATGAAAATATAACAATATCACGAAAATTTGATAATGTTATATTTCTTTTTCTTTTTCTTTTTTAATAAAAAAATAATTTGTTTATAACATCCCACAAAATGAATTACATAAAAATGTGAACTTTTAAGCCAATTAAGAAGAAGTGAGAGAAGAGAGAAGTTACCAGAAAAAATGGGCATGGATAGAGTGCAGGTGGTGCAGGCAAAGAGTGCTGCAACCGAAACAGCAAGACGCAATTTGTGCTTCATGAGAAGGGTCAAGAGAAGGTTCCTGGTTATAACGTTTGGTGGCTTGACCTCATCCGGAGGCGACCTATCAAGCTTCGGATCCGGGTCGCAGAAAATCGGGTCGGATGCGGGTCCTGTGACGTAGGCACGTGGTGGGGTTGTAGTAGAGGAGAGAGAGAAGCGTGGTAGGCGAAGAAAGGGTGAGAGTGAGAGTGAGAGTGAGCGTGAGTGTGAGTGTGAGAGTGTTGGTTTCAGAGTTCTGATTGAAGAGGCAGAAGAAGAAAAAGGAGGGTGGCACTGAAACAGTGTTGCAGAGGCCATGGACGTTGTTCAACAATGGAGAGTAGTGTGGTGAGGTGAAGAAGAAAAAGAAGAAAGGTGAACTAATGATTGACATGTGTAATTTATACAATTATCTTTCTTTTTTTCGTATTCTTTGTAAGAGAAGAAAATTGGGACATTGTTTTCCACAAAAGGAACATCCTACACTTTCTAATAATAATTGAGTTTTATTAATGGTATCTTATGTTGTAGAGAGAAACTAAGTGGGTCCTACCATTATAAAAAAAAAAAAAAAATTGAGGTGCGAAAATCGAAGTGAGAAAAAATGAGATAAGCTACCTCATGAAAAAGAGACTAATATTTCTCATAATAATTATGGGAAAATGGTTTCTGATGGTACATGAAACCAATTTCTTACACACCCAATTTAAATTAGGTCTTATTTTTAATTTGTTTTTCACTTCACTATGTAATGGACCCCCACATGGTAGTTAAAATTTCGATTTAAATTTATGGTTTTACGATTTTTTTAATTAAAATGATTTCATCAAAATTGCAAACATTATTACGTTTTTACGATTTTTTATGATTTTTTTTACGTTCGGATTTTACGATTTTTTATCCTCCTTCCTATTTTAGATAAAATTCCGATTTTAACTACCATGGACCCACATATACTATAAGTGTGTAGGAAAAGGGTTTTTGTCATGTAATATGACAAAAACAAAACCCATTTTTTTTACAAAGTATCACGTCACCATTGTAATTGTTGGAATTTTTTTTTGTACTCCAGGTCTCATGTGGTCCTTCCATTCAAGAGGTGACACTTAGAGAAAAAGTTGATTTTTATTTCTTCTCTTTTCTATCTCCTCATTAGTTGTATGATTTTGATTGGTTCGGATCACTGAATAAATGATAATCCGGGACTAGGGATGGCAAAAACAAACCAACCCGTCGGGTTGGCTCGCAACCCGTCCTAAATGAGTCGGGTTGAGTTGACCTAAATGAGTAGCCAACCCGACTCAACCCGACCCGATACAACCCAGACCCAAACGAGCCAGCTCGCGAGTTGGGTATTTTTTTTTAATTCAAAAAAGAATAATATGACTGTATTAAAAAATAAAAAAATATGAAAACTCCAAAACTGCCATACGCTCACATCGTCGTCACTTTCCTTAACCCTAAGATTCTTCTGCCCCCTTGGATAGCTTGTTCACCTTGTTACCATTAACCTTGCATCTTCGGGTCTATTGACCTATTCTCTTGACAAACGCAATCCACTACTTCCAAGGTGCAATACCCTTTTCTCTATATTTCTCATCTTTCTTTTTTATTTTTCCCTTATGAAAATGGATTCATTGTTCTTCTTCTATGTTGTTGACATTATAAGATTTGTTACTTTAATGTTTTTTCTTTTTCCAATCTGGATACCTTTGAAGAGATCAAAGTTGGAACCTTTTGGCAGTGTTGGTAATTTTAGCAGTGTTAGAGAACAAATAAGACTAATTCCACAAAAATAAATTTTTTTGAGCCAACCCGCGAGCCAATATTTCGAGCTAACCAACCTGCGAGCCAACCCACTGGCATTATTTCGAGCTAACTCGCGAGCTTTTTTTGAGCCAACCCGCGAGCTTTATTCCGAGCCAACCCGCGAGCTGATTATCGAGCCAACCCTAACCCGGCTCGGGTCGGGCTGGGTTGAGTTTTTTGACTCGTTTATTTTTTTGGGTCAACCCTAACCCGACCCGTTTTTTACGGATTGAATACGGATTGAGCCAGATTGACCCGTTTTGCCAATCCCGGGACTACTAAAATTCTTCTCGTTGTTGGGTAGTATAATAATTTTTTGTTTGACCATGCGATGTGTTATTGGAGCCAGAAAAGTAGCCAAATAGTACAGAGACTTTTGTGATCAAAGTAGTCGATTTTTTGTACAACTTTTCAGACACTTGGCATAAAGAGAATTGAAAGTCGCGCATAAACACTTCTAAATTTAAGTATAGCGTAAATATAAATTAAAAGAAAAAAAACTATAAAATTATAAAAGATACCCCCAGTAATATAGAAAGTATAAATTAAATAAAAATATCTTCAAAACAAAAAAGATATAAAAATAATTTATTTATTTTTACAGAAAAAAAATAGTGAGATTCAAACACTCTAAAGAGAATTTATTATATTCTTAGCTATAATATTAACAGCATTAATTTAATACAACACTTGTATTCATTAGTTTTTGAGGAAAAGACTTTGTACTTTTTCCATTAGTTTTTGAAAGTCCCGTTAAATTATTTTTTACCATTTTAGTTTACTTTCCTAGGCATTGTACTTTTATACATGTCTCCACACATTGTACTTTTTTTGCGACTTCAGTCGTTTTTCTGTCACGTGTCAAAAAAGCTACACAAAATATTTGTCATTTTGACTATAAAAGTCTCTATACTATCCAGCGATTTTTGTAGCTCCAATAAACATATCATGTGGCCAAACAAAAGATGTTGCACTTAGAGGACGTTTGGTACGAGACATTTTTTCGAATTTTCAGAAAACTAAATCTTTTAAAATTTTTAATTTTTAGATATTATCATAAACTGAATATAAAAATCATATTTTTAAAAATCGAGATTTTCGGACAAAAAGAAAAAAATTTCCTATACTAAACGCCCCCTTAAAAAAATAAAAATAAATTCATAACACTCAAGTGATTTTCATTGGAAATTGGGGCAGAAAGGTCAATCTCCCCCCAAAAAAAATATAGGCTTTCTGACCATAGTACTTTAGTTTTCAAACGATTTCATAGATGAAACTTATAGTGAAACTTATTACCAAAGTCGTTGGAAATCGACAATTACACAAATTGCAAATGAAAAAGAGAAAAAAGAGAGAGAATAGACACTGAGATTTACCCTAGTTCACCCAATTTAAGCTACGTTCAGTTTGTCTGTATTATATTCACCTTACCGCCACTCGTTACAAGTCAGTTTACAAGAAAAATATAAATAGGATTAGAAAATCCTAACAGCAGCTATTCATGGGCCCAAGCCCAAACTGCTAAAAAAATTATAATAAAACAGAAGCGAAGCTCACAACAGTACCTAACCTCTATGTTTCTGCTGACCCCAATAATGAAGATCTCTGTCAAAATAATGCAGCATGATGCGAAGCGGAACTGAACGTGTTTAAAAACGCACACCACGGTTGCGAGTCACTCGGAAACTTGCTCCTGCATGAACACGCAGCTGTCATTGTCGCGTTCAGGTTGCACCAGAAAAACGAATCTAATAGGTTTTATCAGACATGCCTCTATTAGTGCCGTGTTCAAGTTTAACAACAAGCACCTTCCCCGTTGATCCTCGCACACGGTACATGCGAGTTGTGTGGGTGGACAAAAATAAACACGTTCCTGAACGTGGGATTGATAAGGCTCCATGACACTGAACGCGGACATTGTGCCTGCGTGTTCAAACGCTGCAAAAGTACATGTGCGTATTATGGCATAATGATTGGTCAATATAAAATTCAACTCCACACTCTTTTTTGTATTTCATCTTCGCAAAATCGAAATCTTCTCACGCCTCTTCTTCTTACAAGCCACACTTTGTATTTTCATATTCTTGTGCATTTTCGTTCTGCTCATTATAAAATCCAAATACACACTCTTCTTTGTATTTCATCTTCACAAAATTATACTCTTCCCACACCTCTTTTCTAATGAGCCACAGTTAATAGATGTGAAGACAATACGTTACAAAAATTAATAATATTTCCGGGTGTATTGGATTGAGATTTCAAAGTATTTTAATGGATTATTTTTGGACAAAAAAATTCATGGGTAATCAATTAAGATTTCAAAGGATTGAAAAAAAGTCACGTGATATTCAATTATTCGATTAGGATTTTAAAAGATTATTTTAGAGTGCATCCAAATAATCCGTTGGTATTCAATCAGGATTTTAAACAAAGGAAAGATAATCTCATGGTATTCAAAAATCTTACGATTTTAATAGATTTTCTATTGGTGTGAATTTCGTAAGACTTTTTAGTGAGAAATATAAATAAGATGTTTCTTTCACAATCTCACCATAATCCTAAGATTTCTTGAGATTTTGTTTTCTTCTTCCTTTGACGGGTTGATCCTCTTGAAATCGGATTCCGTCGTAGGAGCTTCGTTAAAGCTCAAAAACAGTAGATTGTTGAGCGATTTTCATCACGAAACAATCCAGAAAAAACAAACCAACAAGATTCTAATATAATTCATCTCAAAAATAGCAGATTTTTGAGAGCTTTTGAAATTTTTCTTGGAACAAAAAGGTATGATTTTCGTATTAAAAATAAATTAAAACAGTGAAAAAGCAACAAGGGAACTAAAATCCTCAAACTAATTTTCGTTTTACATCAATGAAACAAAATCAATTTAAAGAAAGATTGAAACTTTCATAATATAAAGCTTATATTTCGTAACAATATATTCATGAACGAATTCCTTCGCTATAGGAAAGGATTTCAAACAATTTTTGTGTTAATAGATAACTAAAAACTTGTTTTTCAAAATTTCCAAATCAATTTTAGTTTTTTTTTTATCTAGTTTTAGTTATTAAAACAATTACTTAATAAATTTCAGGTTGTTATTTCTTATTAAACTTATTTTTTCAATAACCTATATTAAAAGTTGCGTTTTAAATTATTTCTAAAAAAATTAAGTACAAAACATGAATAGTAAAACCTTATATTTTTAACAATAAGTACAGCCTTTTTAACTATTTCTTAACACTTACAAAATTTTTCTTTATAATCTAAAACCCTAAATTGAAGTTTTACAAAACGTGAATAGTAAAACAAAACAATCAAATTTGTTTGTAATATTATTCTTGTTGTATACAACAAAATAATTATAATTTTCAACTCACTAACATAAAAATTTAGTCACATCAACAAACAACATATTTTAACGCCACTAACCTAAGGTTTTCATATCAGTTTTTTTTAGTCCCCTTAACCGATTCATCCTTCAAACTAGTTCGGTTCGAGCACTATCGGATCCTATAGAGGGGTGGTTCTCCCAAGACCAT